AATGTTACTGACATTGTTAAGTGTCCTTAAGCGCTGGGGTAGGGGTTGTCAGCTTAGCAATGCATTACATAATATGGTTAGGCAGATGTTAATTTAATAGATTATTAATGCTTAATAAAGCACTGACATTAATGAAGAGACCCTTGGTAAATAGTTACCAGTAGTAGCCCTACTACTACTACTACTACTACTACTACTACTGCGACTATTACTACTAATACAGCTACTACTACTACTACTACTACAGCTACTACTACTACTACTACTACTACTATCACTACTGCAACATAGCACTTATTCCTCAGATGAATAAAAATGCTCTTTTGAACATTTTCATTTCATTGCATTTGTCTTGTATTAGACATTAAGGCACTGTTATAAGACAATTCCAGTTGTGACATACAAACAGAAAATTCTTATTCTTTTCACCTTCAACAAAAGCACAAGCAAAAATAAAACAGACCTTTTATTTCTCACACTTTGGCAATTAAAAAAGAACAAACTTCTAAACTATGAATCAATCTAAAATCACCAAAACAAAAATGATGAAACCAAAGAAAGCCTAAAGCTCCAGGTGAAAAACAACAAGACAGAAGTCAAAGGCTAAACATGGTGTCATTTTGTTTACAGAGCTTCACAAAATGTGCACACAGCAGCAGCAGGATGCTGGCTGACTGAAAGCCGACAGAAAACCCCAGAGGAGCTGGGAGGATGCTGGCCTTTAACCTGTTGCTGTCAGGCTGCAGCTAATCAGCTCCCAGAAGTAACCTGCACACTAAAGCCCTTTTCAGACATGCGACGCTGCTGCCTCCGGTCTGATGAACCCAGAGAGTGCTGCCATTCAGCATAGGTCAGTTTTACATTGAGGTGTCTCTCAGAAGCATGATAGTGTTGGAGACACATACATGCATGTTATCACACCATTGTTTTGGCTCTCCTAACCTGAAAATTGATCCATCTCATACTTCAAAGAGAACATACCTTCAGGGGTAAATAAATGGAGGAGACTCAAGAGCAGAAACACCGGTGCGTCCATCCTGTCTAACATTAATCTGCTCTGTACTCACTGGGAGGGAAATGGAAGAAGAAGAAGAAGAAGAAGAAGAAGAAGAAGAAGAAGAAGAAGAAGAAGAAGAAGAAGAAGAAGAAGAAGAAGAAGAAAAAGAAGAAAATATAATTTCTATAGCGCCTCTCAAAATAAAAATCACGAGGCGCTATAGAAATGTGCAGACACTTTGGGACTCGCAAGTCTGTTTTCTTAAGCTGGTTTGTGGTTCTATTAGCTGAAGTTTCAACATGTTCAAAAAGAGTGCAACTTCAGAAATAGCTGCAGGGCTTTCCTACAAGCACCAGTAAAGAGACTCAGCTGTACTGGACACACTGGCCATGTTGGAGACTGGTGGAGAGTGGGTAGCAACCATCCACCTTATTTATTACACTTTATGCTGATTTCCTTACAGTTGGGAATGTCTCATTACCCAGTTATTGTTGCAGCAGTAAACAAAGGGTCATCTGTCTCTTACGTGCTTCTGGGTGATATTCTACTTTAATCTTTTCCTGCCTGTTGGGTTTGGGATTATTATTCTGTTTTATGACCAAGTTTGGTTCAAGCAGACTCACTTTAAATTCTAGAATTCATTTGTGGTTGACCCGACGAACATAAGGAGCACAAATCATCAGCCCTCCGCCACCTTGCTGATAGCTGGTTTGTGCCGTTTTTACCTCATCTCAAACATGTCTCTGTTGATCTCTTCTTTGGGATCATCGTTCCAATCGTTTAACTGAACAAACCAAACTCACAGAGTCTCCGTGTCAAGGACGCTAACCTTTGACCTGCTAAATGCAGCCTTTTGGACTTTCTTATAGACTGGACCTTGAACCAACTCACGATTAATGAGCATTAACATTTATTGTCCTTGTATTGTGTTGACACACGCTTGTGTGCTCCACACCATCCTAACTCCTGCCTTTATACAGCTGGGCACAACTGGTGTTAATCAGGTAGTAAGTACATTTGATCAGCAGCTTCTGGTTGATATTTTCCATCTTGAATTTTCTGAAAGTAGTGAGGGAGCACTCAGAATTTCCATAGATAGTTCAGGTGGTGTACCACACTCAACGTTGCATAATGACCGTTTACCAGGACCGATGTGATACGTGAAAGCCCAAAGGTCAAACCCTTAACTGGTGCTTTGTGAACCAGAGAGCAGTTGCCAAACGTAACTTATTCTTGAGCTAAATGCACATTTAAGTCTGTATTTGATCCACTCTTCTGAATAGACCTGCTAAACAATTAGTCCTTTTCATCTGGGAGCAACTGAATGAGCCACTCTTCTTTTTTCCCCTGCAGAGGACAGAAGCCCGAATCTTAAAGTTGTAAAGCGAGCTTGTCCTTCAGGGACAAATTTATGTGAATCCATTTAGAAAGTCGTTGCTTTGAGGTGTAAAAGTGACAAAACCTGAAAAGCTTCTGGTCATGATGCCATTTTGCACTAATATCTGTGAAAGCATTGCTCAGACGGCTGAGGGATGTGAGGGCATTTCACTTTGAAATGAAACAAATTGCTTTTCTCACATGTGGTGATCTATTTTCAACCAGACCTTATATGTGTTAAAAACAAACTCCAAATCTTCCTTTAATAGTAAAAAAAGTTCATTTTTTTAGATTTATTCGTTGTTTTATATGCAGATGCAGGTCAAACTATTTCTTTCAGAAGCATGTTGAGATTTGCAGCTCACATGATGAGTTTCTGCAGAAATCCCTCATTTCCTACAGGCTTCAACATCTGTGATATTTGATTCCCAGACCGTGTTTTCTCTCCACTGATTTACCTGCCGTCTGCTCTCTTAGTGGGTTTTCATTAGCCGATTCCCCTGCTGACTCTCTCTGCACGCCTTCCTTTCTCCTCTTTGTTTCCAAAGCTTTTTATTTCAATGTAAAACCCTCCTGAATGCTACCGAGAACCCCGCTCCCATGTGGGTTCACTGTTTCCCCTCTTGTCCCCTAAAAGGGGAGTAAATCTGGGCTAACACAGGGCTGTTTTATTCTGCATGGCGTGAGCTGCATGAAAATAAAGCTTTATTTCATCCTATTTTCACTCTCCTATTTTTATTCTCAATTATCTGTCCATTTGCATTTTGCATAGTATGGGACCTACTGCTTTAATTTGGTCCAGATCCCTGCATGCAAGCGGTTTGAATATGTGCAGTTTTATTAAATCCAATTCAGCATTTTATGTGAATCAAGTGCAAACCTGCATGAAGAAGTAGACTGGGAGCTGACTAACTGGTCATCTGGTTCGCCAAAAAAGTGTTACATTTATAACAAAAATATTTTTCTCATTCATTTTCAACTTGTGTATGAGAGGAAAGAACTTGAACTGTGTAGCAAACTTTATTTGTTTGCAAAGCAATCATTTCTATATTAACGTGAAATCCAAACAGAACAAATTCTGAGGACCAAAGAAAACTTGGGAAAATATCTTGTTTAATATTTTCATCAATTATTTATAAAGCTCTCGGTTTACCGGTTCCCTCACCCATGGTCACAAGCTTTGGGTAGTGACTGAATTACTTTATCCGGCGTTGTGGTCCTCAATATCGTTCCCCCTCCCACCTGGAGCCATGTCTTTATGGATTTCCTGTTTTGACTCACCATCACATTAAATATGACTTGGACATGAAAATTCTCTCCTATAATACCTGCACAAAACTTCACATCTTTATTTTTGTTTATTGTGTCACTACGCATTGTATCCTCATTTTTAAGAAGTGTTGGACAAAAGCATCTGCCAAACACTTAAATGATCTACCTTACCTATGTGTCAGACTGACTCTAGAGTGCTGCTGTCATGTACTTCCTCCATATGACCTGGATCCTTGTGGTTCTCCTGCACACTAAATTGGTGAATCCACATTAATGGGGTTACAGTCACATTGATAATTCTGTGTGGTAAGCATACATGCCTTGTAAGTCATACTCTGTTTCAGGAACTAGAAGTGAGCCGGATCAGAGTTGAGCTTCAGACAGAATTTGGAGTCTTATTTCCTGATATTTGGACATCTCACCTCTGACTGGCTAATAGCATCATGACTCAGCCACTGCCCCTGTTTGCTCTGAAACACTGATGTTTTACCTCCACCAATAACACAAGCCTGGAGGAGTTCTGCTATGTGGTGAAGTTGCTAATGCTAATGGTAAGTTTTTGCTAGCCAAGACGTCATCTGCTCCCCGTCGTAAGTCCAGATGAGTGAGTCCATTAAGGTTAAGTGACAGTGTGACGTAGATCTGTCCTGATTTTCGAATCCAAGAGTTTCACCGTCTGTTTTCTATCAGAAGATAATGTAGGAGACTATTTTCATGTTCAGCCTGCATGAAACACTCAGACCCATTAGAATCAGAAATAATTATTAAAATGGTTTTCAGTGAAATTTTAAAGCATAAAGTTGCTTTAAAATAACAAAACTAATAAAAACGAGCTGTGGACACCAGCTAAGCGTGAGAGTGTATTTTTCTTCAGGATGAACTTTAATCCGTTTTTACCAGCAGTCACAAACAGAAAGATCTTGGAGAAGAGGAACATTTTCCCAGATGCCAACAGTGGAAAGAAATTAGAGTGCAGAGATTAAACTTTTTACTTGAGACAAGTCAACCAGTCATCTCATTAATGTGGAACCGAAGCTGCTTACATGACGAATGTGTGGATCTAAACAGATTTTATTTGATAAATAATAAACACATTTGGATATACAATTTAGACATTGGGTGTATTGTTCCTCAACCTGCCAAAGGTGAATTTAACGGGCAAAGCTTTTGATTTATTTTAAACACAAACGGCATCCCATACAAGCTTTTGATTTATTTTAAACACAAACGGCATCCCATACATCTGTGTTTCATGCCTGTCCGGAGATGCGCACGTTGAGCCGCTGAGTGTCCAACTAAACGGAACGCCCCCCACGCCCCACCCCCCACACCCCACACCCCCACCCCGATTGGAGGAGATTTCTTGGAGCTGGAGAGGAGCGCTCATCTGTGTCTCTCCTCCTCCTCCAGCACCACCACCAGCAGCAGCTGCAGACTTTCTCTGATCCTCCCGCTGGTTCATCACGGACATGGGGACTAAACGAATCGCTGGGATTATTCCTCGCGTTGCCTGTCTTCTGCTTTTCTGGTCTGGGATAATCGGAGAAGGTAAAACGGATTAGCGCCTTTTTTGCTTTACCCCGAGGAGACTGGTCAAGTCTGAACAGCCAGGGCCGAAATGTGATCACTTTAAAAGATGTTTGCATCAAATGCAAACATCCATTCGACTCTTGATCCATATTTGTGTGAAACTGGATTGCGCAATTTTCTTGGTGATCTGATGCGCAAACTGCACGGATTGCTGCACTCAAAATCTCAGTGAGAACAAATGGTTCACTTTTATTTTTGCTTTAACTTTATATTCAGAATTCTGTAAAACACATTTTATTGGACTGGATCAAAGGTGACGCCAGTGCGTCCGTGCCGCTGAGTGTGCGCCTCCTCCTTTGCGCGCTCTAACTCCTTGAATTAGAAAAAGTTTAGCGCACTCTAAAGAGGTGGTTTGGTTTCATGTTTCAACTTTAAAAACCAGCGCGTGCGTGGCTGTGGTTGCGCGTGCTCCTTGCGCTGAATCGCCAGATGAAAGAGGCAAGGCTTGCAGACTTTAACAGAGAAAAGACGTTTTATTTTCAGGATGTGATTCGGCGCTAAACCAGCTGGTTTGGTTTGATCCAGTTTGGTTTTCACCATTTTCATTCTGTGTCTCTTAAAACTGGGTTTGTTGTTCTAACAGAAACAAAACAAACTGGATTTTGTTTCCAAGTAAAACACTGACCCAAACATCACGTTTAGTCCCATTTGTGCCTCTGCTCCTCTGGTTCTCCACCTCTCCTGCTGTTTCTGACAGATCAGCCTCTCCGTCCTCAGCTCTCTCCTCCTGCTGCTCCTGCTGCTCCTGCTGCTCCTGCTGCCAGCTCCCTTTCACTTGGCAACAGATCTTCTTTCTTCCCATCTTCTCTTTCTGTCCTTTCTCAACGTTTATATCCCATTGTGCTCCTCCTGCTCCCCTGCAGCAGCATCACATCAGCTGCTCTGATGCTTCATCCCTCCTTTCCCATGTTTTCGGTGCTTCGTCTCAGATCCATTTCTCAGCTCTTCCTGCTGCTCTTTTTCTCCTCTGTGGTTGTTTAGGTTATTGTCTGAGTTTCTGCTCTTTACTGGTTCATTATAAATCAGGGCTCATGCCTTGTTTCTTGACTTCTGAGTGTGTGAGAGCTTCGTCATCAGAGAATGCCATTTCTGTACCTCTGCAGCTTTAAATAGTTTCAGCTGCATTTTTTCCTCAATGTTTATGTTGCCCAGCACCACACATCAGCACGTTCATCCTGCACGGATCATAAACCACGGTACCAAAGCAGGATGAAGCCAGCTGCAGGTTTCAGATGCTTATATGTTTAGTTATAACTAAATGTTGCAAAAGCAGATTTAAAGTTTCTGGCACATCGATATGATCACATAAACACTAAGTCACTGCAGATTTGTCACCCGTACATCCATAATGAGAACCACCTGCTCCACCACATCCCAAAGGTTCTAGACTGGACCAAGTTCTGGTGACTGTGGAGGCCGTTGGGGTCCAGTGAATAGGGTCATGTTTTAGAAAGCAGTTAGAGATGATCTGAGCTTTGTGACATGGTGCATGGTCCTGCTGGAAGTAGCCATCAGAAGATGGGTCCATGTGGTAACAAAGGGATGGACATGGTGAGCAGCAATACTCAGGTAGACTGTGGGGTTTAAACCAGACTCAGGTGGGACCAGAACATCCCACTATCACCACCACAGCACCAACAGCACTGCCAAGGCAGGACAGATTCATATTTTCATGTTGGTGACACCAAATTCTGACCCGACAGCTAAAATCCAAACTCATCAGACCAGGATAGGTTCTTCTAGTCTCTTCTGGTCAAGTTCTGGTTATCCTGTCGGAATCGTATCCTCAGCTCCTTGTTCTTAGCTGACAGGAGAGCCGCCTGGTGTGGTCTTCTGCTGCTGAGTCCATCTGCTGTTGTGCTTTTGGAGGTGGTTCCTTGGTTTGAACCTGTAGACATTTGAGCTTCTGCTGCCTTTCTAATTTGACCATTCTCATCTGTCATCATCCACACAACAACTGGATGTTTTCCCCAATTTATATTATTATCTCTAACTTTCAAAGACATGGTTATGGGTTAGAATCCCAGTAGATCAGATCAACCCATCCGGTACCAATGCCACGTTAAAAGTCCCTTATGACTTAGATCATCTTCACCATCTAAATGCCTAAACATGTCAAGTTGTTGCCATGTGACTGTTTGATTACATATATTTGTTAATAAGCGAATGAACAGGCTAGTGAGATGATCTCCACGTTACTGATTCATAGACATTTAGTTCTAACTAAAGAATCCATCCATTCATTTTCATTACCCACTTATCCTTGCAGGGTCACTGGGGGGCTGGTGCCCATCTCCAGCTGTCTCCGGGCATGCAGGCAGGGTACACCCTGGACAGATTGCCAGCCCATCACAAGGCAACACAGAGACACACAACCAAGCACACAGACACTCACACCTAAGGACGATTTAGAGAGAGTCATGTTCTTGGACTGTGGGAGGAAGTCGGAGCACCTGGAGAGAACCCAGGAGTGCACAGGGAGAACATGCAGACTCCATGCAGAATACCCCAGGTCAGAATTTGAACCCAGGACCTACTTGCTGCAAGGCAACAGTGCTAACCACTGCACCACTGTGCAGCCCATGAAAACATCTCATGTCTAACATATCTTAAACATTTGTAGCTTGTAGCTGTCTGCATGTCCTGCATGAGACAGTGGGCTCTTATCTATAGTGAGGGAAAGGGACCAATACTGGTGAGGTGACTCAGGTGTGGGAGGAAAGTCTGAAGACCTCTGGTGAAAAGATGAAGAAAAGACAAAAACAGAACTGTGACAGTAAATGAAATAACAATAATACACAGTGCCAAAGCTCCTATAACTTAGAATTATGATGAATGTGTTGTAAGTAACCTGTTTGCCACGCTGAAATTGACCAAACCAGTTTTTAACATTCAGAGCAGCGGAGAACAGATGAGAGTCCGATGCTGCCTCAGGGTCTGCAGCGCTCTGAATTAAGCATCTTGTCTTCATAGATCCTCAAACGAGTCATCCAAGCTGTCAGAGATCCATAACCTCTCCTTGAAAGCGGCACAAAGGGCCTGAGGGACTTTTTATCACAGTTATTTTTGATTGCTAAAACGCGCTTTTCAAAACTGTACGTTTCTTTCAAAACTGCACACACAAAACCCCAAACATAACACACAAATTCCCAAACCGTGGCATCCCTTTGCAACAAAACCCTGCCACCACATATCGTAACATGTTACCAAAACAGAACATGTGTTTTCATTTGGTAAACACAGCCACATTTTCACGTGACACACACATACCATTCATTGCTTAAACACAAGTAGCCTTTGGGTGAACACTACCAAGCATGGAAAGAACACTGAAGAGCAAAACTGAAAGCGCAATTGTCTAAATGGAACACAATGAATTATACACTGAATGTATGACAGTGCCCACTTTTCTCTGAGACAAACATTAGACATCACACAAATTGTGAGACAAAACATTATATTTTTAAAATTAACCCCCCCCCCCCCCCAACCCCAAATTTTGAGACAAAACATTATATTTTTACAGTTAACCCTAACCCACCCCCTCTCCCATTAAAGCATAATCATGGGGCATCATGCCTCTGCTCTCTGTCTGGCCAGAGGGCCTCATCAACATCACAGGCGATGTCCTCCTGGTCCAAACAGCTCTGGAAATACCGCCTCGAGTGTCTCATGAAGCCCTGACAGGCCTCAAAGGCCACATCTCTTCAAGCCTCCTCCATGGCTTGAAGCAGTGGGACCTGACTCTGTGGATTCCTTTCGTACACCTTCCATCTTCAGGCTGAGAAAAACTCCTCAGTGGGATTGAGGAAGGGGGAATAAGGTGGAAGGTATAAAATGAAAAACTGTGGGTGGTCCTGAAACCACTCATACACCTGGGTAGCCTTGTGGAAACTTACTTTTATGCTGCAGTCCCTGATTGCAAATAGCTCGCCAGACCCGAAAGTTTAGAGATTTGAATATTTGTGTGTTGTTGATTGAAGCTTTGAGAATTTATACCATACCATACCAAGTTTATTTGTATAGAATATTTACTGTAAACATGGCATGAAAACCGACCAAAGTGCTGAACAAAAACATACAATAAGAACAATCAAAAATAAAAACTAAATCAATAAAAATCAAGTAATTCAAATCGAAAAGAAAAGGAGAAAGAGAATAAGTTAGACTGAATTAAAAGCCAACGAATAAAAGTGAGAAAGAGAGGAAGAGAGTCTGATCAGGAGGGGCAAGTGGTTCCAGAGCTTCGGCGGGAGCTAGGGACATGGAGAAAGTGCTGGTTGGCTGATCGGAGGGATCTTGTAGGGACATAAGGGTGAATGAGCTCAGACAAGTAGCCAGGTGCTGTTATTGAGGGATTTAAACACAAAAACGAGGATCTTAAACTCTATCCGGAGATGGATGGGGAGCCAATGAAGATTTGCTAAAACCGGTGTGATGTGTTCTCGCAGCCTGGTGCTAGTCAAGAATCGAGCTGCTGCGTTCTGGACTAGCTGAAGGCGGGCAAGAGTGGAGGAGGAGAAACCATATAGCACTGAGTTGGAGTAGTCGAGACGGGAAGTAATGAAGGCATGGACAACTGAATGGAGATGACGCCTTTTTAAAATGGGCTTAACTTTAGAGAGACGCCTCAGGTGGTAAAATCAGGTCTCAACTACCTGGTTGACATGAATGTCCATTTTTAGTTTAGCATCCATCACAACCCCTAAGTTTGTGACATGGGTTTTCAACCCACTTGTGATTAAAGGAAGGGTCAGTTGGGGACGTTGAGAAGTCTTAGGGCTGAAAATGATAGCCTCTGTCTTGGTATCGTTCAGCAAAAGAAAGTTTTCTGACAGCCAGATCTTCACATCATTGCAGCATTCAACAAGGGGCTGGAAGGAGTCATTAGTCAGTTTATGTGAGAAGTGTGTGTAAACCTGAAAATTGTGTGTTGTGTTTTGACAGCAAGGTAATGT